ATTCGATGGATGGCCACACTCATCCAAGGCACATACAACATGGAAATCTATCTAAAAATAGAACAGGTTTTTCCGAATTGGTCACGTGATTTTACCTCATCAAGTAATGGGACAACCACATTAAAGAATGACAGGACCACATCAAATAATGAAACAAAAACATCATGTAGTGTAAAATCGTCAAATTTTGAAAAATCATTACGTAATGTTAAAACCATATAAAGAATAGACAAATCATCATTACAAAATAACAAAACCACATCATGTAATGAAGCAACTACATAACGTTAAGTCACATTCACATCAAGTAATGTTAAAACCACATTGACTAATGACACAAACACATTAAATAATGGTGAAACCACATCGAGTAATGACAAAACCATATTGAGTAATGACAAAACTATATCAAGTCAATACGAAACCATATCGTGTAATATCGAAATATCATTAAGTAATGACTATTCCATATTGAGTTATATCAAAACATCATTACGTAATGTCAAAACCATATTAAGTAAAGACAAAATATCATCAAGTAATAATAAAACAACATAAAGTAATATCAGAGTTCCACATAAGACAGCTGTGGCGTTCCATAGATAGACGTTTGTTTTTATTTAAAGCTATAATTCCTTCTGGCTAACTGTATCTTTTTAACATACCAACACCTATCCATTGAAACTAATATATAAAATTGGTGCAACTTACGTCAGTAGAACAGTATTGGGTATCAGAGGATATATCAAAATTTTAATCTTTTCATAACATCTTAAAAAATGAGATATCATCGCATAAAACAGGTTTTTTTTTTTTAATTTTTACATAATACAGCGAAAAAAAATCAAAGGAAAACAAAACATAAACTGAAGTAAACGTAATAAATAAAAATAAATAAATCTGTGCATAAATGAATATAAAAATAAATGAATACATAAATGCCTAAATAGATAAATAATAGTGTTATATAGGTATTTGTAAATAGCCCAATGGTTTTAACCTTATCCCAGAATTGTATAAGCGTCCAGTTCACAACGACTGATATAGACATGACCAATTGCTAAATATCAGTTAATTGTTATTCCTCTTTTTATAGACATTTTCCGATGAAACAAGGACTAAGCCATATCTATACAAAAAAGTAGTAATTAAGCAACATAAAATATACGCAGAAAAAAAACACATCCTTATAGACTATATTTACAAAGTGCGGCCAGAGTCAGTAGAGTATCACATTTTGAATTCTAATAATTTGTTTCATATATCCTTCTTCAGAACTTAGTTACGTGAAAGAATCTTGACTTGTACATGTGCTATCGTACAAAGCTACATAACTCAATAATCACTTTGAAAGAAATATCACGAAATTCGTTGTGCAAAACAAAATTAATGAATGCTCCATAAACTTTAGCTATTCGAATATTTTACATTCCGACAAAGGTATTTTTTGAAAATAGAATGTTATCATTTTCATTAACAAATACATTTTGGTTTTATCTCTTATAATTATCTTGTGTACGAAATTTCAAAACGGCTTTTTGCATTTGTGGCAATCAGTATAATTGAGCCAAAACATTTTTTTTTTGTTATTTGCGCCTACTAGTATTTTGATAAACACATGCGAGACAAATTTTTTTTATTATGATTTATTGATGTGCATAGAGCTTAGTACATCCTTTCCGTGTGCAATAAACCTTTTCCCTGCTCACCACGTGTATGTGGGAGTGAGATAAAATCAGGACAAATAAATTTTCTAAGTTCTAAAACTATTTACATCATCACTAAAACTGTTCTTGTACGATGTAACAGCAAACACATTGACGTTATATGTTCTTTATTAAACGGTCTTTAGAACGGATGGCGACAGACATAAACAGTCTTTAGAACGGAGGGAGACAGACATAAACAGTCTTTAGAACTGAGGGCTACACACATAAACAGTCTTTAGAACGGAGGGCGACAGACATAAACAGTCTTTAGAACGGAGGGCGACAGACATAAACAGTCTTTAGAAGGGAGGGCGACAGACATAAACAGTCTTTAGAACGGAGGTCGACAGACATAAACAGTCTTTAGAACGGAGGGCGACAGACATAAACAGTCTTTAGTACTGAGGGCGACAGACCCATGTCAGACATGTTCTTAATACGTACGTAGTAAATTTAATCTTACAATTATTGTGTATTCAGTTAATTGTATTCTTGTACGTATTTTTATTGTTATTGGTTGCTATTAGGAGCGTGATTTTGCAATAAAGATTTACATTAACATATATACAAGTCATCTCTGACAGAGTAGTTGTTAGCAACGCTTCTAATGTACTGTGATTCTGTAATTTCTACTCTAACGTCCATCTTGTTCATTTTAAGAACACATTTCTGGCAATAAGAATACCCATCAAATGTTATTTTAAAATTTATCCTTGGTTTGTTCCGCTGCATGGACAAAAGATCCATCCTATCGCACCAAAAATCATTAAAGAAATGAACTCTTCCATGCAAGAATAAGAAGTAATACGAATGAATAATCTACAATGGTGAAAAGAGATTCAAGTTTATATATGTATATATACAATATTAAATAAATGTAAACAATGAAACCCCTGAGAGCTGGGCCTTTTGTCAATCAGTCTGGTACCTGTAATTCAGTGGTTGTCGTTTGGTGGCACTTGCTGTATATCATATTCTTTTTTCTTTTATTATTTTGTACATATATCAGGCCGTTAGTTTTTTCGTTTGAACTGCTTTACATTTGTCTTTTCGGGACCTTTTATAGCTTGCTATATATGTTTTATGGGTTTTGCTCATTGTCGAAGCCGTATAGTTATCTATAGTTGCTAAATCTACGTTATTTGATCTCTGCGGGAGAGTTGTCACATTGGCATCATACTACATCTTCTTATATTTACACAATTGATCAACAGTTCCATTTCTATGTAGCATAAGTATAAACTCATGCTAACTGCCCTCAAAATATAATTTTTAATGGTTTATCTATAATGAATTTGTTAAAATTTTGCCTTTTTTTTTTAGATTGGCGCGTAAATGCAATTCGCTTATTTCGGAAGCTGGAATCCTACCTTTTTGTTCTCAATCGACCCTCGTTGTCAATTTCAAGACGCAAGTCGAGATATGAGGTCAGACTTCACTCTTTCTGTGGTATGTTATGTTTCAAGTTCAATTGGATAGATGCGTTCAACATACATTTAGTCACCAAACTTTGAATTATTTTACGAGATTCATCATATACATATATACTGGAACGTTAGTTAAAGGGTAAAGCTATGATCTTTGCACTCTTCTCGAGAAACTACTGTATGAAGTCTGTCACATTTGAATACATGAACAAGTCGGGACAAAAAGAGATAACATAGCAAACCTCAGGATTAATATAAATATTATCTCAACTGACGAAAACTTGTGTCATGTAGGGGTGGTCTATGATTTGTCATTATTGACGAGAACTGCTCGCCAATAGCAACCATTCAAAGTTTTTTGGAGGAAAATGGGCGAAATAAACGTTGACGATAACTTTATTTTTACTAACGCAGGCACCTTGCAATAAAATACACAATGCATATATAATGTTTATCAAACAGAACAAAAGAAATGATGAAAACATAAAAATTCAATGAGAATGACATATAAACTAACTTGTTGAATATTTGAAGTAACTAATGCTACCGATTCTAACATGTGTATCTATCTTCAGTTTCAATATTGACAATTTTTATTTGATTGATTATATTTTAAACTTTGAAAGTTCTTCTTGGAGGGTAATCTAAAACACGTTTCGTCGCATTTTTTTGTCTTATTTGTTTTATTTCGAATACTGTTCATTGTTTTAACCTTTGAATTCCTATATATGTTGTTGCTGTAAGAACGGCCTCATTCTTGAAAAGATAGTCAATACGTCATAAAAGTCACTTTTAATTGCTGTAATGAAATGGCATTTTTGATACGCATGTCTGGTTAAGACAATAATGACAATATATTCAATGTTTTGAAAATATTTAAGGAATGACTGTAATATTTTTTCTGTCTATGAAGAAATAACATCAAAAATGTGGTGCACACTGAATAACCCGCGTAGCGGGTTATTTTAAAGTGTGCACCACATTTTTTATGTTATTTCGAATAGACAGAAAAAATATTACAGTCATTTCTTATAATTTAATTCTAAATTCCATTTTAAACCGGAGTAAACCATGAAAAAACGTTGATGACGTCACGGTCACATGACAAAATTATGTCTATTAGCTGATAAACAAAACAACGTCAGCCAATCAGAAGACGCGTTACATCCAAAATTAAATTATATATTAATGGAGAAAAAAACCACTGATTTGAACGATGGTAAAACAATAACATTATATTTGTATATTATTTTCGACTTATGAGTTTGAATGTCCCTTTGGTATCTTTCGCCTCTTTTTTATAAGCTGTCGCGCGTTACTAATAGATATATATAGAAAGATAGATCTGGGAATAGTATAGTATGTCCCAGTATAATTAGAGCAAGGGTTTGTATTGATAAACGTATATTTTGTGATGTCAAATGGGAAGAATAACGTATTACTAACAAAATGCTTAATATTTGCGAAGTTGAATGGGTAACGAAATATTTAATATTTGCGAAGTTAAATGGGTAACGAAATATTTGATAATTGTAATGTTAAATGGGAAGAATAACGTATTACTAACGAAATTTTCAAAACTTGTGGTGTTAAATGGATAGAATAACGTTTTGTCTAACCAATATTTGATAATTGAAACCTGGTCATCTTGATCTTTGGTTAATGGTATTTTTTATTATAACACTGTAGTAATGAAGAAAATAAATATACATGATATTTACCAACTGTACGAATAATTTACCTGTCACAACCAATGTCGATTTACCTGTAAATTTATAAAATGTCTTCTTCGTGTGTATGCTTTTTGCTACGAACTTTAATTATGATAATAGAGTTTTTCTATGTACTCGAATGTTTACGGAAGTGTAATTTAGGTCAATATTTAGTTCATTTTTTTGAATTCACGTTGTCTATTGTAAGTATACGATTAATAAAATAGCAATTGCATACAGTAAAGATAGATTATCTGTCCTATGAAGAAATACATGTCCATTGTATATTGGCACGACATGTGTAATGTAAATGTAATGTAACAGATATATCGGGAATACTCAACAAAACAGCTGTCAGATTATTAAAAATAACCTTTTTTACGCTACAGGGACCAGGGGTTTCATTATTTTTTTAGACTGGAGGTACCTTTGAGATTATAGGGGGAACCAAACCTAAATGGCGAGGGGCCTGAGGGCCGCTTAAGGCCCCCAGTGGGTCCAGGGCTAGGCCTGGTAGGGGGACCAGGGGGGCAAAGCCCCCTGGAAGCTCATGGATTTTAGGGATTTCAGCCTTAATTTTTTACTTAAAAAAAATAGGGTAAAGTCTAGTCTGTAATATTTGCTTCAATTTTGGGTAAGTTAACATTGAATTGTTTTTTTTTCTAGACATGCTAGAGTAATCATCTGAAAATACATTGCTTATAATTATTTTGTAATCAGTTATAAAATATGTAACGTATGACCATGGAAGTATTATATTGTCAATATAATACTTCCATGGTATGACCTATAATGCAGGGGTTTCATGTGAAATGTTTTTTAAATGTTTTGTTTGTTTTTATACTTTTATTAAATGTTTTGCATTTGTTCAATTTTGTGAATGAAATTTCATAAGTTACATAGTATATTATTAAAAAAAATTGATAATAAAACTTGTTGTAACTTTTTTTTATTGCTTTGTTATAATCATAACTGTGTCAATTGTTTGTGTAAGTAATTTAACAGTGTCATGCAAACAATTAAACAACATGAACAATAAACATGCTCTCATGCAAAACAGCAAACAAACGTTTTTGATATATGCTAAGTGTTGTGATGGTTGTTCTTCTCAGAAAAAAAAACAACATGTATTCAACTTTCACTTAACTTTAATTTTATAAAAAGGGCTGATTGTGAAAAAGGGGGGCCCACCATTGTATATTATATTTTAAGCACTTAAATGTGAAACTAATTAGATAAATTGTAAAAACATTTAGTTAACAGCTTTCCTGGATGCATAGTTACAATTTAAGGGAATGAGGTCTTCAAATTGAGATTTTTCGAAGTGGTACGCTTTAGTCTAAACTGCACTTTCTTTATTAATATAATAGCTTCTGGCAATCGCATGCGTATTAGGCCACTGACCAGCACGTCAAAAATGTTTCCTAGAACGATCTTAATTTAGATATCCTCATTCTTATTAGGTGAAAATTACATACAACTCCAAATTAATCTTTAAAGGTAAAACCGAAATTATTTATAAGTTTAATTTAGATTAAAGAAACTTTTTTCACACATATTCCTTCTCATATGTATCTAGATTAAATCATGTAAACGTTTTGATTAGTCTTTAATATCTGATTGACTGGGGTATATACTGTAACATATGGTCGGTCATCCCTTGAACTTCACCCGTTCGGAAGTATAATCCATGCTGTAGAAAGTGCCAAGCTCTCTGCACACAAAAGTAATATCACAACAAAAAGGAAACCAGAATTCCTATTGCGCTGATTTTCGTCCTGAATATGTCTGAAATATTTGCTACTGGACGTAAAAAAACTAAAGCCTATCACTTACTATCTATATCCCTATTGTAAAACACCACGGCGCGCATACGAACAAACCTAGAACTTGCATTTGATGCATTTGATAAATTGTTTTGGTGTTTTGAGATTGTTTGTTATATATGTCACTTTGGGTAAAATATGGCGTGTAATAGTTTAACACATGTGGAGCACTATCTGCTTACCCTTCCGGAGCACCTAAGATCACCCCTGTTTTTGGTGGAGGTCGTGTTGCTTAGTCTTTATATTAATAATTCCCATTTATGCATCACATTTGCCGTTTTAGTAATAATCTAGACCGATCATATGCAGATATTTGAAATAAAAAATGCATTTAGATCCCCGATCACTTTGGACAAATAAATCAGAGCGTTTTACAGTTGTCATCATCAGCTCAGACTATTACGCTAAACCTTCCTCCACATAAAATTACTCGATATCATAACCATAAATGCCTATGGTAGTTTATGTTGATAAATGGTAATAATGCATTTGTATCTACAGGTGAATTACACTGCTGCAATGGCCTTTCCAAAGACGGGAAGCAATTTCATGGAAAATTACGTTGAGCAAAGATTAACCACAATTCACAACACTAGTGAACAATCGGTGAAAAACTACAGACAAAAAGTAATAACCTTCTTTGTTGGACTTTTTATCATCATCACTCTACCGTACATACATTTAGGTAAGTCTTTATATAAAGTGTTTAAGTCAACGTTTCGTCAAAGAGTGTTGAAATTGATTTAGTTCAACCTTGTCTAGATATATTTTAGTTTCCTATGTAGTTTGGTTACTATCTCGTTGACTAACGATAATACAATTGGTTGATTATCGGACTACTAGTATATATGAACATCTGGATACAATGCAGGTAGCTACATATATTGACAAAAGGAACACTCAGGGGCGGATCCAGGATTTCTGAAAGGGGGAGTAATCCCATCCCCTGGATCCGCCGCTGAGTCGCTGATATTTTAAGTCCGTATTTGTATCAGAATATCTTATGAATTGGGAGATGATCATATACTCCATATTCAGACCTGCTGGAATGTAGAGGAGCACAGTTGGTTCCCATAGGTAAGCATATTGTCTATTGAAAACAACGTCCTCCTAGCGTTACAAATATGTCAATAAAACAAATCCAGCATTTTAATAATCAGGACCAGTGAACCTTCTGTTTGGATCAGAGAGTGTGTTTTTTTTTACAAAGTATGATTTGTCCCTTCCGAAAACAAGAATAATGTATTTGCATTGGCCAGTCTTTTTTCTTTTTAAGAAATTCTGACCATTTCCTTCTATCTGTCTATAAGTTTAAAAGGAGGAATATAAGTGTAAATAGTAGAGACGTCAACTGTTTTATACTATTACATGAACGAGGAAAGAGTCTTAGAATGTAAATACTTTAGCAGATCTTTTGGAGTTATAGTATCAACACACCAGATTCACATGGCACCTCGCCCGGAGTAAGTACTTTCACAGAAAAGACCAGTTATGAAAGTGATAACATAGGCAGTAATGTACGAAAAGGTTTCGTGCAGCATTTGACAGACCCAACAACGTAATATTGTTTGTAAGGACACTTATGTGATTTGGGTATTATGTAGAGGAGAGAAAGGTCCAGCTCTTCATCTTTGGTTGAAATTCCAATGGAATATAAATCCGACCGATGAATGTATAGGATTTTCTCTTTAGTAAGTGCCAAGAGAGTATATTTTAGGTTTCCAAGAATATTGTGAACCCATGATTCATTTATCTATATAAAAACGAAATTGGTTGAGGCTTTGTCTACAGGTACAGTAAGGTCTACTTTTTATCTTCACTCACATCTATAGATTTAAAATGAGGGTTGAGAATATAACTTTAAGATTAAAGAGATGCTTTCAATTTTCCAATTACATATGTATAGACTTTTCATTTCTGTGTTGCAACATCCCAGCAGTACTAGCATATGCATATGGAATAAATATATCCCGATTGATACACTATTCCAGGGATTGCATTTCCTATCATGATTTCTTTGATAGAGGGTTGCCGCTTACAAGGAAGCAATTGATCCAAGGATTCTTAATGATACAGTTGAAATTATCTCTTTTAATATTTGCGAACGCCATCACGAATTGGTTGACCGATATGGGACATTTCACTGTTTCACACTCATTGATGATTCCAAGATGTAAGTGAATACATGAAGCATACCTAACTTTATATGTAGTACTCTTTATTTCAAGTTCAATGGGATATTATTAGTTACATAGTGTGCTAGTGACCTAGTACGATATATGTGGTGAGAGCGAAGCTCGAACCCCATATGAAATTTTCTAATCCCATATATATCGTATTAGGTCACTAGCACACTGTGTAACGCATTTATTTAACATGTGACATTTAGACTAGTGGCCTATCAAAGTGATCAAGTCTTCAATATCCAGAACCAACTTCCATTGGTCTATACAAAAACAAATGCCAACAATAACAAGTTGTTAGCTTTTAATTTGTTTTCTGCATTTATTTCAATCGTTCATCATCAATTTCTTCGTCTGCTGAAACCTTTCAGATTTTTCCTCAACACCGTGTTGTTTTTACAAAGGGACGTAACACCACTACTAACCGTAACCGTGTATTGAAATAGACCACGCCTACTAACCCCATATGAAATGTATAGAAGGTAAGATAAATAGATTACCATCCACCAAAATTTAAATTGTTCATGGATATATTCAACTTGACGCAGCCAAGTCGAAAATTTATTGGTTTACAGTATTCTTCTGGGTAAGGTTGCCCATACTTTAGTATCAATGAGAAAATCTCAAAATGATGATGAATGATGCAATTCTGACAGCTTTTGCAGTTTTTCAATAAATGCAAGAAGTTTTAAGACCATAAGCAAACATGTAAGGCAAAGTTCACGTGTATATTGTGATATTTGTACATCTGAAAAATGTTATTTAAAAGGTTTATAACACTTAAAGTTTCCAATTCAAGGGGGTAAAAAAAGAAGCCTTATCATACATTCTCCTTTTTTTAACCATTGTCAACATCTTGCACATTCAGCAAGCTGACCAGGATTTTGAAGAAAAGCATTACTACATTTATTTAAAGAGAGACTTTGCTTGCGAGAATGTAATTCACATTTTTAGCGAGTATCCGAGAAGGCAATTGATTACGTGAGAGATTTTTATGTATCTGATTATCAAAACCCTTGATGCTAGTTTGGCGTGTTTTTAATTTTACGTGTATTTGGTTTAAGTTCGCAGGTTAAATGTGAACTGTATTTTTATAAATAATTCAATCATAAGTCAGAAAAATCCCAATATCTTTTGTAGTAAAATATTCGCTTCTACCTGAATGGGAATCAATTGATTCATTGACATTTAGGGACTTCGATAAATCACAAATCAGGCCGTTGATTTTTTCTTTTGAATTATTCAAATTTAATCTTGCCGCGGCATTTTATAGCATACTAAACGGTAAAGGGTTTGCTCATTGTCGAAGGCCGTGCTTAAATAGTTGTGTACATCCTCTTCCTATGGTTTCTGGTGAATAGTCGTCGCATTGACAATCATACATCATCTCCTTTGGTTTCTGGTGAATAGTCGTCGCATTGGCAATCATACCTCATCTCCTTTGGTTTCTGGTGAACAGTCGTCGCATTGGCCATACCTCATCTCCTTTGGTTTCAGGTGAATAGTCGTCGCATTGACAATCATACCTCATCTATGGTTTCTGGTGAATATTCGTCGCATTGACAAACATACCTCATCGCCTTTGGTTTCTGGTGAATAGTCCTCGCATTGACAATCATACCTCATCTCCTTTGGTTTCTGGTGAATAGTCGTCGCATTGACAATCATACCTCATCTCCTTTGGTTTCTGGTGAATAGTCGTCGCATTGGCAATCATACCTCATCTCCTTTGGTTTCTGGTGAACAGTCGTCGCATTGGCCATACCTCATCTCCTTTGGTTTCTGGTGAATAGTCGTCGCATTGACAATCATACCTCATCTATGGTTTCTGGTGAATATTCGTCGCATTGACAAACATACCTCATCGCCTTTGGTTTCTGGTGAATAGTCCTCGCATTGACAATCATACCTCATCTCCTTTGGTTTCTGGTGAATAGTCGTCGCATTGACAATCATACCTCATCTCCTTTGGTTTCTGGTGAATAGTCGTCCCATAGGCAATCATACCTCATCTCCTTTGGTTTCTGGTGAACAGTCGTCGCATTGGCAATCATACCTCATCTCCTTTGGTTTCTGGTTAACAGTCGTTGCATTGGCAATCATACCTCATCTCCTTTGGTTTCTGGTGAATAGTCGTCGCATTGACAATCATACCTCATCTCCTTTGGTTTCTGGTGAATCGTCGTCGCATTGAAAATCATACCTCATCTCCTTTGGTTTCTGGTGAATATTCGTCGCATTGACAATCATACCTCATCTCCTTTGGTTTCTGGTGAATAGTCCTCGCATTGGCAATCATACCTCATCTCCTTTTATAATTCTTATATTCTGAACATTATATGTGTTATCTATGATCATTGTAGAATTTGAAGAATAGTTCTCTCTTAATTCCAGATTATATGTTTTCTATGACGAATTATTGTTCCGTGACGCATAACAATTCTTAAAACCTAATAATACTTTAGTGATCGTTTACAAGTAAAGAATTGTAGTGAAGTCACGACGCTTTATAACCAGCAGCGTCAGAGAGAAATTAATTCCGTATAAAACGTTGTTTCACTGAAATTAGATATTTAAAATGTCAAACAGTGTAAAATCAAGTTGTGTAGATTGTTTTTGAATTAAACCAATTGTCGCATTCCGAATTTCATAATCTATTAAGAATGTGACAATTCCAATTTTAGATGAAACATTTGTTTTATCTTTCATTGATTTGTTTTTATTTGCAGTTGCATTTTTAAAGAGACCAACGTGTCTCAAGTACGTTGTTTCAAGTTGAGGAACGATTGATTATTACATATAGAAACAATTGTTTCCCGAGTATCATGTTATCTAGTCTTTCTTTATTCTTTGATATTCGAAATTTTTCACTGGAGAAAAAGATTTACTTATGAGTTGTAATTGTCTTTAAACTATCCTTCAGTAACTGCGAGTCCTCTTAGGTTGGTACTTTGTGTCTTTCATCTTTATGTTAGTTGTTTTTTTGTGCTTCATGCCAAATAATTAGTCAAGACATTATCAACTGATTTTTTTCTGTTTGATTTTCTGTTTTTTTCTGTGACACCACTATTCCAGGTAAGTTTAGGGTTGATACAAACACTCCACCATATTTTAAAACATCTTATCATGAAATATAAGAATTAAAGAAAATCATGTGGTTAATATTCAACATAAAAAGACAAAAAAATATTCTAAAAAATGTTTATCGAACCTTAGCGGTTTCCTAGTGTGAGTTTATTTTGTCACATGGAAAACTCGGTCACTGACATAACGAATAGCACTATCCGACCCTTTCATGTCCTAAATCCATGCTCTACAGCTGTTTGGGTAATTCGGCGTCAATGCCCATGTTCCGGAAATGTAATAACTCTAAAAAAAAAAAGCTTGTATGCGCCCTGTAAATAAAAAAAATATATAAACGTAAAGCGATAAAGCATACACCAATAACATACTCTGACTTTTCAAAAAAATCCATTTTTTTGATGATTGATTATTTTTGAACATGATACGAGTATAAATTTGGTGTTGTAAAAATAATGAGGTTTACACTCTTTACTACAAAATACGCAGAACTGACGAACATATCTTGTTAAGCCTCTATATCTGACAACAATTTATTTTCTTGTGTCAAGATTAAATGACAGATTCTAAATGCTTTAAACATGTCTTGCAGACTAACTACATAATAGCAGTAATAATGAAATTCAAAAGAAGATGTGTGCAATAAATTGACAGTTTGATACACTTGATATCATTTTTTAATTTGGACTTTTGACAGTTTATGCAAAGAAAAGAAGTATGAATTCTAACTGTCTTATTTCTATCATTACATGTTCTAACCTGTGAATAACGTAACTGTAAGACTTTTCGTTCAGGAATGTTCGGGAAATATTTAACTTATTTCATTACCTTTGATTATTTCAAAAAGTCTTATTGCCCGCTAAATTTGGATGTCTTGTAAAAGTGTTACTTTGTATATTGATGCTGAAATGAAGCTTTTTTTTCTGTATCTTGTTTTTTTTTTAAGCTCACCTGACCCAAAAGGTCAAGTTGGCTATTCTAATCACTTGACATCCGTCGTTCTCTATCTTTTATAAAAATATTCTCTTACTCTAAGGAACTAATTGGTACCAAATTTGGACACACTCATCATTGGGGTATTTAGATACAGTCTGCCAACCAACATGTCAGACATGGCTAAAAATTGAACATAGGGGTGAAATGCAAGTTTTATCTATAATCTTGAAAACCGTTATAGATGGAAAAAATCTGATATGGGCCAAAATGTTCAAAATATTGAGATCTACCTGCTGTCCATTAACATTAATACCGTCAAACGACTTCCTATATGAGTTATTGCCATGAAATGATGAGTTTTATCTTTTTTTTTCTGTCTTCTTTTTTCATATTTTCTGAGTATTTTTACGCTTGGACAAAAAACTATGGAAGATAAAGAGAAACTGTACACAGTAAAAATATCAGCAAGACACGATCAACAAATAGGTAAACAAAGCCAAAATTCTCAGTACATTTCTTTTAGGAGTAACTGCCATTGAATGATGATTTTTACCCATTTTTGTGTTTTGGGCAAAAACTGTAGTAGGTAGAGAAAAACTAAACAGAAAAAAATATAAGCAAGACTCAATCAACAAATACAGATTTCAGTTCTGAATTATATTTTAGTCTACAATCTAGGAGAGTGGTCAATGTTGGAGATGTACATAGATCCATATGAGCGACACAGGCTCCTTACAGCCTCTAGTTTTTTTTGTTCTCTTAAAGACAGTTTCGCATATTTCTGATAGCCTAAGCATAAGCAATATCATCCAAACATACATGTATCATTTTGATTTTTTTTATTTGTAACTAATTTGTATAATTTATGCATACTTTTAAAAATTAATATTAATATAATATGTAGGGTTTAATATCAATATAATACATAGGGTTGTGTGGCTAATATAATACATAGGGTTGTGTGGCTAATATAATATATAGGGTTGTGTGGCTAATATAATATATAGGGTTTTGTGGCTAATATAATATATAGGGTTTTGTGGCTAATATAATATATAGGGTTTTATGGCTAATGTAATATATAGGGTTTTGTGGCTCATATAATATATAGGATTTTGTGGCTAATATAATATATTAGGATTTTGTGGCTAATATAATATATAGGATTTTGTGGCTGATATAATATATAGAGTTTTGTGGCTAATATAATATATAGGTTTTTGTGGCTAATAAAATATATAGAGTTTTGTGGCTAATATAATATATAGGATTTTGTGGCTAATATGATATATAAGATTTTGAAACCGACATTTTCTTTTATTCATACAAAATACCATGCCCATACTTGTTCTTATTTAAAACGATTTGTGTACAAATGTGTATATTGTTTCAAAGGTAAATTGATTTCGTTGCTTGCCACTAAACGTCAAGCAAGCAACAATCAATCAATCAATGTATTTTGTTTCCAAACATTTACATACTTATTTGTCTCTTTACATTTGACAACAAACACATAAACATTGAACTAGATATTGTATTAAGGCTGTAAGCCTTTAAGGGCATCGATATACAATTTTATTTCGTCAGCATATTTAACTGCATCAATACAATTAGGTCACTGTATCAACATTTGGTATGTCGTTATCAAAACTTGATTTTGATGAGTCGAAGAAAAAGAGAAATTTGAGTCTGACATTACCAGTTTCGTGGCCGTGTACAAATAAAATTTTCAACCGGAACAGAATGCTGTTATTTCTATATCGATTGAAGAGATTATAACTAAACCAATAATAATCTTTTGGAAATATCTTTGAGTTAAATATTTTTATAATTCATTATGTTTTGATGTTGTGTCGTTTAAAACAAGCTAGAAGATGCTATTGTAGGTGTACATTATGAATATTGACATAAAACAGATGATGTAAAATATTAATAAAAAACTCAATAAACCTGTACTCTTCTGTAACTTTTTAAATAATAGACCACGGAAAATATTCTTAACATTACAGACAAGTATTTATATTCTGTCACTCAGTGAATGTCCAAAGCGTTACAGTGATATGTTTTACATTCTGAGACAATGTATTGGTATTCATAGTTACATTGGCATGCTTCATGTACCATTTTATCTGTGGACATACCAACATGACAGAAAGAGTGATACAGCTGATGCGTTTATTTTATTTTGTTATGAAAGGGGTATAAAAGTTTGTTATTTCTTTTAATATATATATTCAACCATTTCATGAATTGTGTCAAAGACTGTTCTTATGCAACACAATAGACCACAGTAATTCATGAGACCAAAGCTTTATATTTCGGAGGATACTAGATAGCGTCTGGTATTCACAAGTCTTATTGATGTAAATGGTATTTTTACATTTTTCTGCGTATTTTTACGTGCGTCGCCAAAGGCGAAAGCAGGTCTAGTAATCGGTTGACTCCGTCCGTCCGCATGTCCGTTCATATTTCCGCCCGTCTGTCTGAAAGAAAACTTTCGTCAAAGTTTTTTTTGGTTTTATGAAAATGATCGATTTAATATCTAGTCTGCAGCTTGATAATGTTGGGTTGAAGCGAGTAAGCAATTTTTTACATATGCCATGTGGCCACTTCCTGTATGCCGATAGTTTGAACACACTCATTGTACAAGGAAAGTTTTCGTCTAAGTTTTCTCGGCTTCTATGAAAGGGAATGAATTAATATTTGGTTTGCAGCTTGATAATGTTTAGTTGTAGCGGGTAAGCGCTTTTTACATCTGTCGTGTAGCCACTTCCTGTTCGCCGATAGTTTGAAATTTTACAAATCTCATTGTACAAGGAAAGGTTTCATCAAAGTTTTCTTGGCTTTTATCCGAGGGAATGGTTTAATATTGGTTAGCAGCTTGATTATGTTGAGTTGTAGCAAGTTAGTAATTTTTGCATCTGCCTTGTAGTTTGAAATTTTACAAATCTCATTGTACAAGGAAAGGTTTCATTGTACAAGGTAATATTTTAATATTTGGTCTGGGAATGATCAGTTATGCTCCGTTATACATCTTACATCAATCAATTTCATGCTGCGGATTTAGACCCGGTAGTGGTCTTGTTTTACATCTAATGAATAGTCATTTTTGACAAACACGAGACAATTCGTAAATGAAAGTGTTTTTATTTTTTTATTGCAGGTGTATTACATCGAATTATATTTCCAGGAAAGCCAAAGATAGATAGAAGATCATGTAAATGTTCTTGTTTTGATACAGTTTTTAGAGGTAATAAATTTATGTAAATTCAGAAATTATTGCGTTCATTTATTATTGCGATTTTTATGGAAAGGACAAAAATGCGAAATTAATTATTGCGATTGCAGGAAGATCTACATACAGTTATTTATATCAGATATCAGAATGCGAGTTCTTATTATTGCGATACTCCCTCAATCGCATTAATCGCATTAATAAAAACCTCGCAATAATTTCTGAATTTACAGTATTATGTCATGTTTCTACATACTCAGTACTTTAAAATTAGCCTTAATTGTATTATTGTATATGATTATGGGAATGTAGGTGTTCATTACAATATCGCGAATATAAAAAGTAAATAAACAACCGAAATGTATGTCATTAACTCAAATTCATGAAGGCCTTATAAAAAATACTTGTAAGTTCAGTGCCCAAGTTGAGGCTGAAATCATACTCAACACGAACAGCGAAGTCACAAAACACATAATAGATAACCACTAATCGTTTCGATTACTATCTTTGGATATGAATGACTACTAAAAGACAATAATGCATAACATGAAATAATAATTGGTTCATTCACACATTAAACCGAAATTGTGTATGCAATTATTTGATTTAACGACTAAAGTTTCCTAAACCTTGATTGGTTCATTTCTGGATGGCACGTCATCAGATATGTTCCTGGCTAAACATTTCAAAGGCCAATTCCCAGTATAATTTCACTTATCCGACTTATCGAGACTTTACTTTTCGTTTTTCATCATGAGTATCTTATAAAAACCAATATATCAAATATAACTTGACGTCAGCAAATGATTCATGTCATAAATAACCTGTAATTTTGTCCAAATCCTGATGCTTGAAAAATAAGTTGTGAATTAATGACCTAATACATGGACCATTTACTAAATATACATAATCGACAAAAACTTTACTTATAAATGTTCATGATTTTCATTTTTTTTTAATACAATTTTTCATGTCGGGGCCTTTTATAACCGACTATACTGTGTGGGTTTTTCTCATTCTTGAAGGCCGTACGGTTGCCTATAATTGCTTACATCCTCTTTATAGTTGTTCTATTGGCAATTATACCTCATCTCCTTATTTTTATAATATTACAGAACTCATTTTTTTGTTTTTAGGTTCTTACGAAAGTCCAGGCAGCTCTGGTTATAAACACGTATATTTTAATGTTACATGGCAAACTTATCGAATATGGATATTCACTGTGTTATTTATTCTCATGGCGTATGAGAGTTTAAAATACTTAGTTGGAATCATATCTAACAAGTCTCTGCGAAAATCTATGTTTGTATTGTTTCTTGTGAATTTATATCCCCATTATTACTCCTGGTGGTCATATTTCAGCTATTACAATGAAGACTTTTATGATTACTACACTCATCATATGTTGTTTACAATTACGGAAATTATAGCAACGTGTTTGGTTTTAAACTTAAGTGATAACCAAAATCCGATTGTTTCCTGGAAGATTTTGGCTATTGTTAGTATAAATACGATGCATATTTGCATAGCTGGAATGGATCAATTCATTGCACATGTAATAAGAGGAAAAGGGACAGATTTTCAAAATGTCCGAAACATCGCTTTAATGGTTCCGGATTTGCTCCATGTAGTGATACCATTGTTGGAGCTGTTTATCCACGCTAAACAAAATAATAAACTCTTAAGAGAGCTCTGTTTTAAAGAAGAGGTCATGTTGTGTGTTGTATTTATCTGTTTAGGAACTTTGTTTGGGAAAATGCTTTAGATATGGCTCACAACAAATCTGCATAAAGGATTAAGCATTTTTGAATGTTGAGGTAAACATTCCTACCACTGAATACATTTAGTAACTAATTGCATATTTGATTTGTTCTTTTGTTTTGTTTGTGTTTTATTGCGATTTTTTTCTGTTAATACAACATCAATATGACAACTTATTCGTCGAGTGCAAAATCCTGAATAAATAACGGAAATAAATGTATTTAGATCGCGATTTGCATAAACCTCTAACTGAGTTCAATACAGACGCTAATCTGGTGTAATAATGAAAATACGGACAACAATACAATTCAACAGAATGAATCTGGTGCTGCTTAATTTTTTTCGTCTGTTTGAATTAAAATCTTTTCAATTTGACTCGTCAATCAATGATATCAAAATCCATTGTTTGTGTTATACATGGCTTTGTGTTATCCTGCAATACACGTGTTATTTTTTAGATAAATGCTACAATGAATTTAAAAATGGGTTTTCGATTTATCAAACAGTAGCTATAGGCATTCTGTATAGGAATATACAATGGAAAACCATTATTTCGTTAAAAAAATACCATGAACCCAGAGGACGATCTTTATCGGTTTTGTACTTACACGAGTAACAATACGGGTGCCACACATGAAGCAGGATCTGCTGCTTATCCTTCCAGAGCACCTGAGATTACCTAGTTTTTGCTTTAAAGGGGTTTGTGTTGCTCCTGCTTTAGTTTTAAGTGTTGTTCTTGTGCGTTTTAATTTTTCAATGTCTATGTTGTTTATACCGGTAACAGCCTTGTCTATCCTTTGTCATGAAAAACGTTTCAATTTCAAAATTTCACAGTCGGTCAAGTTTCAGGATTAGAAAAATAACCGATAGTACAATGTATACGAATTTGGCGATTTCTTAGGGTTAAGAATCGACTATCAATCCACTATTGTTTTGTGCCTTATCACTTGACATAACTTGTCAACGTATTCGATTGGAGTAACATGACGGGTGTCACATGTGGAGCAGGATCTGCTTACCCTTATGGAGACCCTCGGATCACCCCAGGTTTTTGATATGGTTCGTGTCGCTCAGTTTTTAGTTTTTTTTATGTTGTGTTTTCTGTACAGTTGTTTGGATTTTGGTCGTTCTTTTGTTATAAAATAAGACTGTAGTGTTTTAATAGACCTCCGAAAGGACTGCTTACACAATCAAAATGCTTTAATTCTTAAATGGTGTTCGTCGTTAAAATTAATAGATATTTAGTGCCTTGTATGTTTAGAGATTTAGCGTTCTTTCTGTTTGGAAAGAATGTTTTGATTCGACAGTAAACTAAAGATGTGTGAATTTATCAAAAGAATGATTGCGTTGGCCCATCAACATATTGGAGGCCACAAATGAAACATTCTAGCATGCTAATAACATTCGAACTTTTGAAAGACATATTGCAAAATTTTTAGAAGTTCTTTTTGAGTGGAAATGGTTGAGCACTCACGAAAATGTTAAACCCATCCACATACTTTATGAGCCTGTACCAAGTCAGAATCCTATAATTCATTGGTTTATCATTGGTAGGTCTCTGCTATATTAGTTTTTTTGTTTTATTGTTTAGAGCACACATCAGGCCGTTGGTTTTCTCTTTTTGATTTTGTCCCTTTTAAGATCAGTACTTTCGTTTTAATGGAGGTCATAGACATATCTACCCACCTTTCTATTAAAAAAAACAAAGGTTTAGACGGACTCGAAATTAGACCAGAATTACCATTGAGGTAAAAATGAACCAGTCTTTTTCCTAAAATGACAGGACAGAATAATTTTGTTTTAATATTTAATTTTAACTTCCATCGCAAAATATTTGATCGTAAAAACAGTTATCACTGCTAGAAATTATCAATGATTTATTTTCCAATGAGCCGAATTTTATCAATTTTATTGCTTTTACAAAGAACAAATGTAGCATCTAACCATTGTATTTTCATTTATATTCTGCACTTCCTGAATATACACTTTTCATATCGAAAAATAGCTATGGAAATAAACACCGTCATGTATAACAATTTATCGATTATACTTGGAGTTTGATCATAACGTAGTTGACTATTGGATTCTTTTAAAAATAATATGAATTAAAAACAAAATACTTTTTCAGTAAGATGACATTGTGTTCCCTTTTTCCTTTTAGTTTTCGTATATTGTTTACTCAAGCATAGCTTGATTGATAGACCGACCAAAACTCGATAAAGTTTCACTTTTGAAAACAAAAATTCTGGTAGTTATAACTATTTTTCTTGAATGATAAAAAAATATAAGAATAAAGGAGATACCAAATTGAACTGGGCAATACAATTCATTAAACAAAAAAGCACATATAACGCCATAATGTATCCCGTTTACGTTTTATACTCTCAAGTGTTTTATTTATTTGGCTTTTCATAGCGTTTGGTCTCGAAAGTTATTTATTGATGCTTAGCTTGTAGTGAACCAAAACTCTCGAAAGTTATTGATACTAAGCTTGTTGTGAACCGTTGATTATCTTTTTGTAGTCTTTCTTTTAAGAATGTCGTAGTCGATTAATGGATTTTGATTGCCCCTTCGGTATCTTGTCCCATATTTACTACCACTGGGTCTACGTTATGATGATCAGAACGAAACATTTATTGCTACGAGACATTTTGGACATTGATGACTCGTATCAGCATTGTATTATTTCCAAGTATAAAATCAAAAACAGCAAAACCTGTAAATTTTAATGCAAGATCAATCGAACTTAAAAAATCTTACCTTACCAGGAGTATCAGTCATCTAAATTATAAATCAGCTAATACTGTTAACAAACAAGAGTGTTCACTTTATGGATTGATATGTCAACAAAGGGAAAGGCAGGCTGAATAAATGAATCTATGACCATAAATCAAACTTTAACAACTATGCCAATGACATTGTCAAAACAATTTAATCAGAATTATTGTCCAATAACCCTTACGTGATTATGCATAATCGAAAATATTTCCCATTGAAAGACTTTTCCGCAGATTTCCGTATCCATCCAACAGGCCAAATTGTAGTGGTTGACTTTTATATTGTCAACAAAACTGAACGAAATGTGTCAGCCTCAGGCCAAAATACCTCTTAACTGGAAACACAAAATAATAATGAATGCAGTCGGGTGTTGTGCCAGAAAATGAAAAAAAAAACGTGAAAGAGAAGACTAATATACCATTTTTGTATGGATTTGGGTTGTGAAGTTGTTGATACAAACAGAAGTAAAATAAAAGCTATAGTCCATGAACACTCATGTTACACCTATCTTCAAACACCAAAAATATTGATGTCCTACCTTCATGAAAAATATATTATTGTCCCCGATAATAGGTACATCCAAACAATATCGTTTCATTTTTGTGTAATGCACCCAATATAAAAAAAAAATTAAGGGAATAAAATATTGGCAATTCACTTATAAAACCATTATATACTCTAACGACATTTACTAAGGAGAACATCTTGAACTATTTATAGTCTGTTTTATTACAATATATTTGTTGTGTTAGGTGGATTTATATTTTAACAGACAGTCGGTATTCAGGTTGGTACTAATTGTGCACCCCTTACTGGCCGACTAGTTTTTGTACTCATATAAAGCAGAACTCATACATAATCTTCTGATCTTCTAAAAAACAAGAAACAGCATCTTGCAAAATATTTTAATTTGATTTTAAGATAGTTGATGATGTCCTGTCACTCAATAAACCACATTTCAGTTATTGCTTGCATCTCATATATTCTAGTGAATTTAAGATAAAGTGCACTACCGATACTATAAAGCCCGCGTTATATCTTGATCATTCCTCAATATAGACACAGATGGACGACTTCAAACTAGAATCTAGGATAAACACGATGATTTCAATTTTTCAATTGTCAATTTTCCATTTCTCAGCAATAACATACCATCTACCTCATCGTATTGCTTTTACATACACCACTTAATACGTTACGTTCGTGCATGTTCTTTGGTGTTCTATGATGTGTTTTTTGTATACTGTTGTTTGTCTTTCTATCGTTTCTAGATTTTTAGCCATGGTATTGTCGTTTTTTTTTATGACTTATGAGTTTGACTATCCCTTTGGTATCTTCAACTTCTCTTCCCACTTTACCAAATTCATAAACCAGGTTGTGCTCCTCACACAAAACTGCCCCAGCAGAGTTATTGTGAACTTAAGATATTTAGATATCAGATACCCGATTTTGACATTTTTATTGAGTGCGGATTAGCTCCGCTTGTGATGCAGGAGACTCCTACACATGTCGACGCATCCGAACTCACTCCTTTAGAAGAGCATGCGACGTTCCTTCTCCGCAGATTTGGAAAGACCATTGAGTACTGCGACACCCTATGGTTGCAATTGCAACATTGATAAATAGTAGGAGACGCTTACCTTGTGAACACACCCGATATCACTTCTTATGAAGTTCATGCGAGTCCCTCATTATATGTTTGTTGCCTTGATCTGACGCTTCTGGATCGATTTGAGAGATTTGAACATCGGTTAACTACTGTCGTCTTACCCATACAACACATATTTCGACAAAATTTTCAACTACATACAGATGTTGCAGAAATTCAATATTGAAGAAGTTCCGTATCCATCCAACAGGCCAAATTGTAGTGGTTGACTTTTATATTGTCAACAAAACGTTTATTTTCAACAAAATCGTGTGTGTCCTTACGAAGAACGTTATGTTGTTATGTCTGCCATATTCCCACGAAAGTGTAATCATAATCATTAACCTCGATTTCATCAGCAATCAATACCGTTTTTCAGAATTAATTTGACAGAACAAACTTTAGTCAAAAATCCCAAAGATGTCTTAGAAGACAATTTAAGTCCAGTCCCTATCCTTGTGCAAAAATATAAAAGACTTTTTACTTCTCTATATAATTAAAAAGATGTGGTATGAGTGCCAATGAGTCAAATCTCCATCCAAGTCACAATGTATAAAAAGTTTATAATTACTAACCTTTATACTAGTATTGCCTATTCACAAACATTAGACGAGTTAAAAGAATAAGTTAAATGTGTTTAATTAATAGAATTACCAACATACAAACAATTTTCTTCTTTTAGGAAGGTACCAATCATATTTTGTACCAGAATTATTTGATTGAAACAATAAGTTCTCTCAAACTGACATAACTAAAACCTGCTGGTACTTATGTTTGATTATAATTATCTTTTTTCTTTAAGATTGAATGAAATTTGACGTAAGAATTGGTCAAAGTTGTAAAGAGAACAAAACCATACAAAAACACAGCGGAAAAAACACAAAATTTATTTTAATATACAAGAAATGTGATAAGATACACTAATCCAGATAAAACATATGTTTCTACATGTTGGTCATCAAAATATTAATAGATAATAGATGTTATAAATAACGCATGGTTTATTTTCAATGAACTTTTAAGAGAAAATTTACGGATTCAGTGAGGTT